TCTTCTATGAGGTCTCATTTAGAACCTGATTCAAGAGTTGAGCCATATCCACTAGTGGGAGAAAGTTGCATCCCACTAAGATTAGGACTATAAAATTGTGGAAGCAAAGTTCGAAAAGTATCTGCTATCATGGAATGACATGTTCGGGTATGCTTGAGGTGGTTGTACAAAGTACGATTGCTGAAATGGAAAATATCCACCATCACTATGATGCATGGATTGAGGGGATTGAGGTGGTGGGGGAGGTGATGGAACTACACCCTTTTCTTTTTTATTATCTCTCCTACTTAGTGATGCATTATCAGCCATTACTAATTAAATAGAGAAAGTTAGATAACTGAAAAAAGTAATACATGAATTAAAAGCAAAACATAATAACTGGAAATAGAGTTAAAGAGTACATATATGAGCATGAATAGAACCACAAAAATTAATATCAAGTCTCTGTGGTTACACCATGATTATACTTATCACAGTAGTCCACCCACATCGCCCAGACAATATCATCCCCAAGAGTCTTTCACTCATTTCTTGATTCGGTTTGCTCTCTTTAGGTTTGATTTTGAGTAAAATCAACTTAACTATTGTCATTCTCATTTGCCACCTCACCATTAATGTATTCATTAAATTCATCACCGTTGAGTAGTTCAACATTTGGATCCACAGTTACAATGAAATTATAGAGTACCGTGCATGCCAATATGATATCTACTTGTATAGGAAAAGAATAATGCGGCTTAGCACACAAAATCTTGAAACGATTCTTCAATGTGCTAAATGCAGATTCAATCTTAGACATCAATGAAGAATGTCTTAGATTGAATAATTCAATGAAAATAAGAAAAAGTATAGTTTAATTAATTCAATGTCTTGTTCTGAAAAATATAGTTTAATTAATGTCTTGTTCTGAAAAGTATAGTTTAATTAATTCAATGAAAATAAGAAAAAGAAATGGAAAAAATATATTCTTTAACCAGAGTTTATTTACCTCAATCCACCTATCCAAACATTCAGGATCCATGATGACGGTCTTCGTACTATCATCCCATCCGGCACCACTATGATTACGATAAGTTTTTATATCATGAAATATTGTACGTAGAGTTTTGATGCGCTGCATGATATTATCTCACCATCAATGTCTTGTTCTAAAAAGTATAGTTTAATTAATTCAATGAAAATAAGAAAAGAAATGGAAAAAATATATTCTTTAACCAGGGTTTATTTACCTCAATCCACCTATCCAAACATTCAAGATCCATGATGACAGTCTTCGTACTATCATCTCATCCGGCACCACTAAGCTTACGATAAGTTTCTATATCACGAAATATTGTACGTAGAGTTTTGATGCGCTGCATGATATTATCTCACTTAAAAACTGTGTAAACTCGTCATTGATATGTTGAAAAGCCATATCAAAAGCAGTTCTCTTAAAGCTTTTGTCGGGTTTGTAACACTTTCTTACCAAGTCGCTCAGAAATAGAATGAGCTCATCATCATAATAGGAATCCCAAAAAAAATATTTGGACCCTTGAGAACCACGAGCTTCACTATTTTTTTTGATGTGGTGTTTTTTCTCTTCTTCTTTGGATTTGGTGATGTTTCTACCCTTTCTTCTATGAGGTCCCGTTTAGAACCTGATTCAGGAGTTGAGCCATAACCACTAGTGAGAGACAGTTGCACCCACTAAGATTAGGACTATGAAATTGTGGAGCTAAAGTTAGAGAACTTAGCATGTTCGTATATGATCCTAACTGATGGTGCATCAAAAAGTAGCTGCTATTATGGAATGACATGTTTTGGGTACGCTTGAGGTGGTTGTACAAAGTACGACTGCTGAAATGAAAAATATCTACCATCACTATGATGCATGGACTGAGGGGATTGAGGTGGTGGGGGACGTGATGGAACTACACCCTTGCATTTTTTATTATCTCTCCCACTCAGTGATGCATTATCAGCCATTACTAATTAAATAGAGAAAGTTAGATAACTGAAAAAAGTAAAACATGAATACATGAATTAAAAGCAAAACATAATAACGGGAAATAGAGTTAAAGAGTACATATATGAGCATGAATAGAACTACAAAAATCAATATCAAGTCTCTGTTGTTACACCATGATTATACTTATCACGGTAGTCCACCCACATCGCCCAGGCAATGTCATCCCTAAGAGTCTTCCACTCATTTCTTGATTCAGTTTGCTCTCTTTGGGTTTGATTTTGAGTAAAATCAACTTAACTATTGTCATTCTCATTTGCCACCTCACCATCAATGTCTTCATTAAATTCATCACCGTTGAGTAGTTTATCATTTGGATCCACGGTTATAATGAAATTATGGAGTACCGTGCATGTCAATATGATATCTACTTGTATAGGAAAAGGATAATGCGGCTTAGCACACAAAATCTTGAAACGATTCTTCAATGTGCTAAATGCAGATTCAATCTTAGACATCAATGAAAAATGTCTTAGTTTGAATAGTTCCCTTCTATTTGTAGGTTTTTTTTTACCCGAATGTTCTTTCAAATAATATCAAACACCTCGGTATGGAGAGATGAAACCTACCATGGTTGGGTACCTAGCATCACACAGATAGTATTTGCCTATAATTTTATTGAGAAAATTGTTAAGTAAATTAAGTTTGAATATTAAACTTAAAAAAGTCATAATGTTAAGTCTTTATTTAATTACCATCATAGACTTTCAATCTATGTGGTTGTGGTCTAGATAATGGATCCTAAAGAATCCTATAATCATTTGCAAACCCCTCCTAACCTGCTAAAATATATGTGAACAGCTTGTTTGGGGTGCAAGCTGCAAGCACATTCTGTGTAATACCTTTGCGACCTCGAAAGCGTGCAACAAGATTAATCAGAAGCATTACATCAACATGTGTCTCATCTATCATTCCAATGCAATTCTATAATACGTGTATCACACACCTAAATTAAAATTTACTTTTATTGATTATACATGTAAATATGCTTAAAGTGTAGATATACCTTGAAATAAGGGTATTATAATGAGTTGTTAACGATCTCTTGGGGAATGTCATTGGGGGCTTATCTCAGATACTGTCCATACAGGCAAATAATTGATTGTGATACCTTGTTGAAATATCTACCAACTGTCTCCCCTGATCTTATAAAATATAAGATCTGATAATGCGATTTTTAAATTTATGACCCAAAATGTTCAGTGTCATGATAAGTTGTTCTTTCACTGTTGCATTCCTTGAGTCTTTTAGCAGGCTATTGTTCCTCATTTTACTCGCTAGTTTAACAAAAGCACAACTCCGCATTCTAATATAATTTACGCAACTATCACTAAAACTATTATAATTTCACTCCATGTGTTTAACTCTAGCCCTCTCTTGTCTTTTTTCCCCACTTGGACCACGACGAATTGATTTACGTCTAGCTTACATTCTCCTTATGACTGTAATTATTATATTAAAAATGGACAGTGCATCACCTTGAACCATATTAACAACACTTTGTTCATCAAAACAATCCCCATCACAATCCATCTACGATGCCAAAAATCATTATCCAGTTAGAAACTAAGTAGAATTCTAACAAAATATGAATGAATTGTAATTTACAAAAATTAATGATAAACCAACAAGATTATAAACTGATATACTTTTTATGATTACAAACTGATATATTTTAATAGATATGACATGTAACCTTGTTTATGTAGGAATTGTGTTTGTTTATTTGCATTGTGGAAATTTTTACGTAACTCAAAAATCGAACAAATTGCTATATTTTCAAAGATGACAAACTGATATATATTCATAGATATGACATGTAACATTGTTTATGTAGAAATTGTGTTTGTTTATGTGCATTGTGGTATTTTTTACATAACTAAAAAATCGAACAAATTGCATATTGAAGATGTGTGAACATTCATGTGATGTGAACAAATTACTAATTACCAACATGGATTACTGCAATATCTAAGCAAAAAAATTACAGTAACATAAATAGCATTTAAAAATATCAAAGATCTGAACTTTTAGCTCCTAAAATGAAAAAAATTGCCTTTCGAAATCTTAAGGCAACAACAAATATCAAGAGCCAACACATCCATCAATAGATCCATCAGATTCACCAAAAAAAATAATGTTCCACAACATCTTCATACTATCTAACAATTAGAAAATTAATCAAATTAAAAAATTTGCAAGCAACAACGCTAGCATAGCTTGGATCTAAGATTTTACAGTAACATAAATAGTTGTAAAATAAACTAATAATTTGAAAATAAAAAAAAAAAACATTTTTTACCTTGATTTCGGAAGCAAAAGCACCAACAAAGCTCAGATCTGAATTTTTCAAAGCAACCCCACTACATAATATGAGATCGAGGAGGATATATCAACGAATTTTTTCAGCAGCTGAACACCGTCGGCAAAAAGCTCAGCCGCCGCTCCCGCCCCCCGCCATATTCTCTGAAGAAATGCCCAAGCTGCGGCCGCGAGTATATTTCTGACGGGAGCAGGAGGCAAAGTAGGTACACTCTAGAATTACAAAGCAAATCAACGAGGCGAGAAAAAATTGCGATTGTGGCGCCAGGGTTTCGTCGATTTTTCTCGGCTGGGAGAAAGGGAAATGGGGGAGAGGAAAAAAGCCGAGGTGGCGGCGTTTTCAGCTTCGGTTTCCCTCTTCAACCCTAGCGAACCAAAGTGACGAAAATAAAAGAGCGGAAACAAAAAATCCCACGTGAAGGTGGTGTCCACGAGCTTTTAAAGCGAACCAAACAGCCCCTAACAAGAAATTGATGTCTGTAGACTGTAGTTCAGGAAAGAAAGGGCAAAACTGAAAATGAGACAAGGAAACATAAACGGACCCCACTCTCCTCGAACCGTGACACGTTGACACCTCTCCCAAACAGAACCGGTTTGTCAACCGGCTACAGCCGGTCACCCAGATAAAACCCCTTATCCCCTCGCTCTCCCGTCATCCCCCGCGATCCCTCACAACACTCTCATCAGTACGAAGAAAAGGGAAGGGGCAAAAAAATAAAAAAAGCAAAAAAAAGGGAAAAAAAAACCCTCATTCCCATTAAAATCCCCAGTTTATTCCCCCCCTCTTCACTCGTTCTAGGGTTTCACGCCTTCGATCCGAGCGCCGTTCTCGAGATTCTAGGGTTTTCACCGCCACTTTCGGCAATGTCTCGCAGCAATTCATGGATTCTCCTCGATTTTGGAGCGAAACCCTAGTTTCAGTTAGTCCGTCGGTTTCCTAGGGCGTCGAGCTAATCCAACTGCAGTTGGTTTTTTTTTAAAATAGGGCATTAGGGCGACAAATCTAAAGCTTTTTCTTTTGAAAGATTCTGGTGATGGCGACGGGATCGAACTGTGACCGTCCGATTGGACCTCGCACCAACTTACATTGCCATCGAAATCAAGGAAAAGTTTGGAGCAGGTAAAGTGGAGATCTGTGCTTAAAAGAGCCCCTTTTTGTTGGGTTTCGTTGCTTGTTTGATACGATGTCGGGAGCTCCGAAGCTGCGATCGATGAACGTGGCCGAGTCGGAGGCGAGGCCGGTGCTTGTGCCGGCGGGGAACAAGGCTAGGTCGCCGGCGAGCGGGAAAAAGCCGGCGGCCTCGAAGAATTTGGGCAAAGTGGAGGTAATTGACGAGGAGAAGAAGAAGAAAGGTTCGAATTTGGGCGCAGATCCGAAGAGTTCGAATGGGAGTTATAGTGCCGCTTCGATTTTGAGGAGGCAGGAGTGGTTGCTGAAATCGAATTTGTCGCTGAATGCTTCGTGTTCTTCGGATGCTTCGACTGATTCGTTTGTTAGCCGGGCGTCGACTGGGAGGATCGGGAGAGCAGGGTTTAGTGGTAGGAGGAGGCAGAGTTCTCCGAGACCCGAGAAAATTGCGGCGAGAATTATTCCTAACATGGAATCTGTGAATTTGGCGGAGCCGGGGCAAGGGGATGGAAAGAGGAGGTGCAGCTGGGTGACGTCAAATACCGGTACCCTCCTCGAGTCTTGGTCGTTACGTTTCTTGTTTCTTAGAACAACTTTTTTTTTCCTGTGATTATTTTGTGCATTGTTTCATAATTCGGAAATAGTCAGATTGCCTACTGGCTGCCCTTTTAAAATTTATGTTCGTCGGGAGAAACAAATAGTGTTCGTGCGAATTGGCTTGCTAAACTTTTATTCTGTGGCCTCTGGGGTAAGTTGCTGAGCCTTCTAGTTAGCAGAACAGCCGAGGGAAACCTTCCCGCGCCAGCCATTAAGATAAAACGTAGATATTATTGTGATTATTCACTCTGGTTTCCACTTGGAAATGTCTTACGGTTAATCTTAAAATAGTTACAACGGAGGAGTAAGATGGTTTTTTTTTAATAGTATTCAAGATTATACTACTTACAGTTTCACGATTGGTTTGCAGTCATGCTTTCTTCACCTGCGGGCATGCTTAAATACTTTTCTTGCCCGACTAATGTAGATATGCGCCACAGAATCTTCTTAATCAAACAAAAGAATACTAAAGAAGGAAAAGTTATGAACTTGGCAGATAGAAGAAGTCTGCTTTTGTTTTGAGGAGCACCACCAGTCTCTTAATCAAACTCAATAGTAGGAAAGCTCAGTGCATGTTGACCTGCGTTCCAAGTTTCTAACGTGACTTTTGTAACCAAAGTTAAGCTCCCAACTCCATATAATCTTTGTACATCCTGAACTTTATTACTCTTACCTGTACAGGAAAATGGATACTCTTCCTGATTTGATCTTTGAGTAGAAAATGCTTCTTATGCATGAATCTTAAAACTGGATGTTGATTCTGGAAGGAAAAACAAGAAGAAAAATTTACAATTATCTAGAAGGCGAGCATAAGACTGAGATTTCAATTCAGATTTTGTTTGCTCAACTGCCTTGCCTCGGTGTTATCCTTACATTTTTTTTTATTAAATTACATGAACTGAGCTTTGCAGGTTACCGAATTCACTTAGGGGAGCGTATATAAACATTAGTATATATTTGTATCTAGAATATTAGTGGATACAAAATTTAGTGCCATTTGCAGATGCTATGGCATGTTGACATAACTTATTTAACCTTAATGGGAAATTTGGAAATTTGTAACATGCATAAATAAGTGAACAGGTGAAGCAAATGTGATTTTAGATGTTCATAATCATCTTATTCTCATGTTACCTCCCATATATTCTGATTTTTGAGATTGCTTGAACTTATAATTTAATTATCACTTCAATGTCTTACCCAAATGCAGACTATTACTGCTGTTTGGCTTTTGGTTTTATTTTAATCTTTCATCTTGAGTTTTCTGCTGGTTCTCATTGAATTAAGATTCATGTGGCCTGAACATTTGCAATTTGTTTATTTCATGCCATTATTCATGTGTTTCAACAGATCCATGCTATGCTGCTTTTCACGATGAAGAATGGGGAGTTCCTGTCCATGATGATAAGTATGCAACTAATATGTTGTCGTTCAATCTGGGAGCTATATAAAATGCCACAAACTAACAGCGGTATAGGGTATCTGATATCATGAGCATCTTGCAGGAAACTGTTTGAGTTACTTGTACTCTCCAGTGCATTGGCTGAGCTTACATGGCCAGCAATCCTCAGCAAAAGGAACATATTCAGGTGCTTAGGTTACCTGCACCAAAAATCATAGCTATTCATCTATTGATATATCACGTCACATGATTTGTAACTGTTGTGGCATATATCATGTCCAACAGGGAAGTGTTCATGGATTTTGATCCTGTGCTGGTTGCTAAATTGAATGAGAAGAAGATTATAGCACAAGGAAGCACTGCCAGTTCATTGTTATCTGAAGCAAAGCTCCGCGCTGTCATTGAAAATGCACTTCAGGTTCTTAAGGTGTGTTCCTGTCTTTATTTTGCTTTCTTTTTCTTTTTTTCTTTTGTTTTCTGTTGCTTCGCATTTATTTACGTTGGCGTTATATTTGGACACTTTTAAAATTGAAGGTTTAGCCTACCACTTACAGCACTACAATGTGATTTATACTTTTTTGGATATTGGGTAAAATGTTGTTCTATGATTGCTGAGAAATTCAAATCCTTTATTCAGTCTTCCTTTCAATGTCATTTCATATTGATTAAGTTGGTGGAGATAGTTTGAAGATCTATATTGAAGTAGTAACAGTGGAATGGGGTGAGGAATCATGTTGGACGTTGGAGTCATGCAACTGATATTAGATGGGGGGAAATACCATATGTTGAATGCTGTAACACGGTTGCTTTCTACTATTTAGGCTATAATAACAACCAGCCTTACGTGAATTTACCGTTAAACTAATCTGCAGATAATGCAAGACATGTTAATCAGTTCCTGAACTTTTTTCAGCTTCTGTTCATGCCATATCGTTATCTATCCAGTTTTAGTCTTCATTTATGCATTGTATACTTGGTGCCCCTTCAACCAGTATTTGTATTTTGTTTCTGGTGAACCTTTTGACTTCTCTTGCATATTGTTGTACGCTGTATGAAACAGGTCCATTGAGTGTTCCTTATAATGTCATTTCTTCTGATAAGATTCTTTCAGAGTTCGCCGAACTTGGTATATCTTAAGTTGCCTGAGTTAATATATTTCTTATATTGAATCGATGCATCTGAGTTTCCTTTTTGTATGGAAAAAACCTTATTCCTTGAAATTGAATTATCCATAAAATTTGAAGTCTTCTGACGATTTTCCTCCCTTATAATAGTTACACTTTATGCTCCTGACTTTATTGTACTATCGTACAGATCATAGAGGAATTTGGATCATTTGACAAATATTGCTGGAGCTTTGTGAACCAAAAGCCAATCATCACCAGATTCCGCTACTCTCGCCAGGTTCCTGTTAAAACCCCTAAAGCTGATACGATCAGCAAAGACCTAATGAGAAGGGGGTTTCGAAGCGTGGGACCTACAGTCATTTATTCCTTCATGCAGGCAGCCGGCATAACCAACGACCACCTGATCAGCTGCTACCGCTTTGAAGAATGCGCCTCAGCAGCAGAAAGAGCAGACGATCAAGTTCAAGCTAGTAATAACAAGTGCACCGTTGGAGGAGGTGAAGGAAAAGGCGTTACGGTTTGTGAAGAGATGAGTATTATTGGCTTGGAGTTTGCTAGAGCTGTGGATGATACGAGTATACTACCACCCCCTTCATAGCATTAGGAGGTGCTGCTAGGTTTTAGGCGTGTGGTTTTGGGTGCCTACCATCTGTATGTGCGCTGTTGACAAAGAGGTGGTTGTTGTGTTGATCCTCTCTTGTGTATAAAACTTAACCATCTAATGCACCCTTGTCTGTAGATCTGTAGGTGCTCTAATGAATGCGTCTGATGATTCTTTTCTTTGCAGGGAACAGCAGTTAGGTGGCTGTGGCCCTGCACCTAATGATTGCTACAACCATAAAATTTGTCTCCTTCGTTTCTCATTATTCTGCCCTGCGTGTTCTTTTCTATTTTGACTTCTCTTTTGAGTGCATGACTCTTAGATTAGTGAGAGGCTCCATCTATATCTACCGTTACCGTGTATAATATGTTCACTGTTATGTATTTTACCAATGGTTTCGTGTGCGCCTACCGCGGGTCCGCTGATACGTGAGTAGTAGGTTGCAGACATAAACGTTATCTGTTCTTTGTTTGATGCATCTTAGGTACTTATAATTGAGTTTTTAATTTCCACTACCTCCAAATATTTGGAATTTTAATGTTAGTATCTAATTTCTTATTTTTTAGGCGTGCCTTCAATTTGAGGTCGGATCTATTAGAAATTTAACAAAATGATGTAGGATTCCCATTCTCTCTCTTCTTCCTTCGTCATTTTTTCCTTTTTTTTTTTTACATCCAAGAAAGTTTAAAACGGCCTCCCTGCTGCAGATAGGGCTCCCGTTTTTATTCTCCTACGCCCCATCCTTTTTGTTTATAATCCAAACCAGAATCGAATTCAAGATCGTGGGAGTCATAATTTTGTTTATAATCCAAACTAGAATCGAATCCAAAATTGTGGAAGTCATAATGAAATCTCCTAATCATCTGGGTTACCCGCAATGAGTTTTACCTGCTCCCCATCTTTGAAGCGGTTTTCTCTCGAGTAAAACAAGCATGTTTTATATGCCATTCATGCATGAACAAACCATTTATAATTTGTTCAATTGAAATATCAGATCAAGAATAGCTGGTATAAAGCAAAAACTGCAATTAAAAGAGTTTATTCGAAAAACATGTTCTGTTCTAGTTATATAGATTAAAAAGTCATGATGCTACAGAATTAAAAATTCAATTTTAATCCAGCCATTAGAAGAAGATAGAGCCTAATCTAGGGCTCTAACAAGCATGTGCAACGTAAACGAGCAATATATCATCAGACTCGTAAGCGTATGTTCTCCTTTGTTAGATAAAACACAAGCACCAACTTCAAACTACAGATGCCAAACTGTGATCTCTTTGTATCTTTTGACGCGTAGAAGGAAAATACATGACTAAATACAGCAAATAAACTATCCCAATCAATTCTTCTATGCACTTCATTTCCAATTATAATGCAAGTTATACCCCTCCTCAACATGAAATCACTAATATTCAGCCCCTTGATTCTTTGGTATTCTCTAATCCAGCAGGCTTCTGGAGGTCTCAGCAAATATACAATTTCCATTACACCTATTTTTCCACCTGCCTCAACTTTGGATGACACAAAGATGAAGGAAAAAAAATAAAAAGAGTTCGTTAAGTTTGAATAAGGGGACGCTACCAACAGAGCTCAGGTCAAACACTATACATGAGCATATACAACCTCTAACTTAAAACAAACCTGTTGATTCTACGAGTTTTGGACAGGAACTGCAGAACAATTTTCACTAAAGAGAGATCGGTTTACGCCGTCAGAATTGGTTCCACTGGCTTTCTCTCCAGAGGTTGAGTTGCATCCAATGCTTAGAAGCGTTTGTGCTGAATCCAGTGCTTTCTCTTCTCCTAGTTCTGAAGCTTTATCACCAGAGAATTCTTTATTGGTTTCGGTTGGGGGTTTATTATCAACTGAAGAGTCAGAAGTACGTGATTGCACATCCTTGGTTACCGATGTGGCAGCGGGGTTTCTTTGGTCACTGCCACATTTGATGGGAGGCTGGTCATGGTTGTGATTTCCCTCATAGGTTATTACAACAGCTTTGGCATCATCTGAAGCTCGTTCAACGTGTTTTCGAACAGGACATCCACTGTGAGTGCACCTGTAGTAGCTCCTGAGGATACAGAAGAAAAATAATCAGAGCAAGATAAAAACTTAACTCTACATCAGAGCAAGATACAAAGTACCAACCACATAAAAAAAATAAAGACATCCAAAAAAATCTGGGGTACTGGAACCATTCGACTCTAAAATTTTCATAGTCTATTGCTCACCTCACAACCAACCAACTACTAGAAAAGTTAAGTTCCTCTCACTGCTATTTTTTTCTTTTTCCTTTTTTAAGGTTTGATCAGACTCCACAAATGATGTGTTCAATATCCTTTATATTCACAAGACAAAGGAGGATGGTTGCATTAGGTAGTTGACAGCCAACATAAAACTTAGTCAGGCCTCTATAATATGAATACTGAAGAGGATTTGACGGGTGCGTTCCCATTCTGATGTAGCGTATCAATATGATCCTGATGCAATGCTAAGTAGGGGAGGGATCTTCTCTGCCGTTTCCCGAAACAATATGTTGTTCTGGTGGCCAAAGATGGTTTTCTATGGAGATCCTCAATGAGAGTGCTGCACCTACCCTACCTTGTTCCAGTGATAATTGAGCAAATACAAGCTAGGACTTTACATATACCATAGTGATTGACGTTTTCATTAGGATATGCTACAACAGAATAAAATGATGGGAAAACGGGAAAAAAATGAATAGAAGATTTAGAAGAATGATTAATATAATTTGTCATAAAAGCACCACACTGTGGCGGATCTAGGATTTCTTGAAAGCGGTGTCACCGCATAATTAATAATTAACAAAAATACAATTATTTCTGATGAGTTTTCATATTTTAAAAAACGTTTAGTAACACTATCAACTATATTTTTCTCGATATATTGTCAACTTAACAATTATTCAGTCAATATCATTCTAGTAACTTCAACCTATAGGGTTTTTAATATATATGAGCGGCCCTGATTGAAGACAAATTCAAAGATTAATCTCCGTTATAGATAAAAGTCCAATGTGTGTGATTCCGACTAAATTAAAGATTGGATTTTTACAAGTGAACTCATCTTACCACAACTTCTATCATTGTCTTTACTAATCATGGTCTAAAGTTTTTACCCTCCACAAATATTTCTATCCATCCAAAATAAATAATCCTCAAACTCATTAGAAGTTCACCCGCTTTCCAAAGGGCCAAAAAACTACCACACATAAAGCCTCAAAGAAAAAAAAGGAGAAAAGTAACTGACATCATCCTTAGACAAATCCGAAATTCTACTGTTCATCTTTCTTTTTCTTCTTCCCTTGGTTCTTGTTTGCAGAATTAATGTGAACCCATCAGGTAAATTTTCTTAAGCATTGTCTTAATGCGGACTATCTGCTGATGGCATCACATGGACCCTCGACAATCACCTTATGAGAAGGGGTGTCACGTGATACAACTTCTCCTAAGGCCTCTGATCACACATTACCTATCAAGATGGAGGCTAAGAAATACTGGACATAATCTTTGACATACAAGAAATACTGGAAAGCCCATACGCCTTGTTTGATATGCGAGAAGGGGTTGGAATGGAATGATCATTCCATTTCTCATTCATGCATACCAAAAACATCATCTTTTTGGAACCTAGAAATCCTATCCCACTGCTCATCCATTCTTACGTTTATATAGTGGGAATAAACATTACTAAAGAGATGCTATGGGGAATTCCACTTAAACAAATTAAAATAAGTTTCAAATATACCATGATTGATTATTAATTATCCAATACCAAAAATGAAAATATTATCATTCCCCTTTCATCCTCTAATCGCACACAAACATAATAATGGAAACAAGTATTACATTTCCACATTTATTCCATTCATTTCCTTACTTTATTCCCATTCTTGTTTCGATTCCCACATAACAAACGAACTCAGGTCATTCCAGGCTTGGTTGCAACCAACTTGCAGCAGCATTGCCTGGTTCATGCGAGGATAGAGGAGAATGTAACCATCTAGATGAAAGTATATTTAAAATAATGGCCTGTAATCCTACAGTCTGAAGTAGTAGGTTTTTCCCCTCACTGAACGAAGGCAGTGAATTTAGAATATACGTAATAGCATGCCAAAAAACACTAGCACTGTCGCACAAAAAGGAAAGCATATTTTACAGCAGAAAGATACTTTTCAACATTTGAGTTGATCAAACTACAACCATATAATTAAATGAAGGAAAAATAATCACCAATAGCTTGATCTTTTAAGAAAAGATCGCCAAACTAGTTCAGAATGGACTAAGGGTCGGAGACAATGATGCAGTTACAGACATATAAAATACAATTCAATTCAATGCAACTATATTATATAACACCCATTTCAGTTGGAAAACACAAAACATAGATCACCCAAAAAAATTCATTCTGATGCTCATAAAAATTAAACCAAAAAAAAAAAGAAATTAAGCATACCTGGGATTAGGATTTCCCTTGACAATTTTCTGTCCGTACTTGCGCCACCTATATCCATCACCTATATGTGCTGCATCAAATGCACTATGCACAACAATCTTTGGTTCCTTTATCATTTTAAGGACTGGTGCTGAGTAAGGCACAATGCTTTGTGTCTCAATGAGCCTGTTTTTCAGACAACAGATAGTCCTTAGCACACCTGTCAATGCAAGAAACTATACTTCATGGAACATTATTATTATAAATTACCTTCTTTTTGGATATGGTTCATTGGCATTTTCCTCCTCGGTATTAACTGCAGCATCCCCTTCACAATCACTAGAACAAAACAATTGCCGTTCAGGGGTACCGTTACCAGAATTATGGTCTGCCTTTGATGTCAAAGGTTCCGATTCATAAACTTGACTGCTTGGAAGATCTAAGGTTTCATTCTCTCCAGAAGGCCCAACAGACTGAACCCCTTTCTCTTCCATGGATTTCATCTTTTGAGGTGGGTCATGGTTGTGCTCACCTCTGTAAATTATTTCTGTTTCTTGACCATCTGGACAACGCTCGACCTTCTTCTTAGCAGAACAATTTATGTTTGTGCATCTGTAGTAGCTGCGTGATCTATCACCACCTTTAACCTGCTTCTGACCATACTTCCGCCAGTTGTATCCATCATAAGAACTTGTCTTGATTTGAGTAGATTGAGACTTTTGTTCAGATGGAGGAGGTCGCACCGTCTCCGGGGTAGAGACGTCGTTCTCAGGTACAGATGGAGGCTTCTGTTGCAATGGTTCAGGGTCGACAGATGCAGAGTGTGAAGGACTAACTAATGCTTCTGATGAAGGAGGATACGCTGCTTGAAGTTGCATATGTGCCTGAGCTGTAACTGTGGCCAAGACTGCTTGATGGGTCATTGCAATCTGCCCCTGAAAGAACAGATATTTACATGTAGCACCTCAAACTTTTAAAATTTAAGTATCGTTTAGGAGAACGACAATGCAATGAGATAAAGCCAACGGAACTTTCACTCCACAGAGTAACCACAGAATGAACTAGAATGGTTAAATGTTAAAAACAAAATATCAAAAAGAAAAAGTAACAATAACTCACCCAAAAAAATGGAAAAAGAAAAATAGCTGCTAGCCTCCTCTTGTATGTAGAAATCATAAAAAGAAAGACCATTTGCATGTACAAATGACAATATCACAAGTTCACAAGCATCATTTTGGATGATGGATATGAATGATAGATAAAGCCAATGAAAGTATGGAACTACCATTCTACAAAGAACCATCCAGCCAAGTTTGTGTGGTCACAAATAAAATACAAAGAAAATATAGCTAGCATTATGGAAACAAAAAAGACAAAAAAAAAAAACAGAAAGATAAAGACAGCTTCCTGTTTGACAGAAGGAGAAGATCAGGCTTAGTTTCGTAGCAGAATCAGATCAAAGAGAATAGAAACATATTTCCCTTTTTCATTGTTTCTAGAAAGTTTCTCTTTCCTCCCATCTAAAATTGCAGTTATAATTTCAGGTGTGGGAGATTGATTTGACAAGGAAAAATAAATGCTCTAAGATCACAAAGCCATACATAGTTACCAAACATACTTCACTGATTTTTGCCCATAAAATCCCTTAATGCATCATCAAATTGTCTGCAATTCAAGAAGTCTAAACATTGAAAACTTGCAAATTCCTTGTTGAAGGAATGCAACTAACAGAAATATCAAACACTTCAATCCGAAATGATAATTGGAAAGAAATTGGTTTTCACTTTTCACCGTACTCGTGGGCATTGTTAGTCTAAGTGTAGACCAAAAGCTGAAGCCGAAGCTAGAATCAGGAAGATGAAGTAAAACGAAGGAAACAGAAAAACTGCAGTACGGTTGACCGCGGTGATCTCGACGGTCGACCGTGAACGTGCACGAGACAGGAAAAAGTCTCTGGACTTTTTCCGGTCGACCGCGGTGGTCTCGACGGTCAACCGCGCCTGGACCCTGGAGATAAGTCTCTGGACTTTTTCTGGTCGACAGCGGCAGAAGGTCCGGTCGACCGCGAAAACCCTGTAAGCGCAGTCTGGGTTCTGTCGTTTATCCGGTCGACCGCAACTGGTTCGGCGATCGACCGCGAGTCGAGCTGGCAGTTTCCTAAACTGTTTTGGATTCTGTGTTGATTCAGATTGATATAAATACCCAAATATTTTTAGGGTTTATTAGACCATCAGAAACTACCTGAAAGTGAGTTTTTAGAGAGAGAATCTCAAAGAGATTAAACCCTAGTTTGAGTGCTTGTATTCCTTTTTCAATTAATCAAAGAATTGTGTGGTATGATTCCCGAGGATGTAGGCACGTTGTCAAACCTCATTAAATCTGTGTGTTCGTCTCTTTTACTATTCCTGCAAGTTTTAATCTTTATTTGTGGTGAATTTCTTTCTTGCTTAACTTTCTAACAAGATCCGGAAGGGTAAGTGTTCGATTTGACTGTTTCGAATCCCCAACAACTGATATCAGAGCTTCGTTCATCAATTTGTGAGAAAGCCATGGCATAGGAAATCAAATCTAAGATTGAGAAGTTTGACGGTTCAGACTTCGCCTACTGAAAGTCTCAGATGGAGGACTATCTGTACCAGAAGAACTTATATCGCCCGTTGATGGGTAAGGATAAGGGACAGAAGAAAGAAGAGTCAGACAATGATTGAGAGATACTGGATAGGAAGGCTCTAGGACAAATCCGATTATCGTTCGTCAAGACAGTAGCCCAAAATATCTTGAAGGAGAAGACGACGGTAGGGCTTATGAAAGCGCTCGCGAAGATGTACGAGTAACCGTCTGCAGCAAACAATGTGCATCTGGTAAAAACTCTTTTCAACCTCAAGATGGCAGAAAGACGATCCTTCATGATGCACCTCAGCGAGTTCAACATGATTGTTGATCAGCTTATCTCCGTAAACATCACGTTCGATGACGAAGTGCAGATCATTTTATTACCGTTGCAGTTACCGGATAATTAGGCAGGTTGTGTGACGGCAATCAACAATTTAGCGGGGAAGGAAAAACTGAAGCTGAGTGAGGTGGTTGACATGATTCTATCCGAGGAGGTCAGAAGAAAATCGTCTGAATCAGAAGGTTCAGGTTCAGCTCTAAGTTTCGAGCAAAGAGGCATAAACCAGAAGAAAGAGAACCAGAACAGGAATCGGTCGAGGTCGAAGTCGAAGAAGAGGTCGAATTCGAAGGTTAGGTTTATCAAATGAAAGTGTTGGAACTGCAGCCATGAGGGTCATATGTCTTCAGTCTGTAAGAGTCCAAAGAAGGATGCGAGTGAGCCTCCAGAATCCAAAGAAGGATGCGAGTGAGCAGAAGGCTCATATTGTGCAGGATGCATTGATCCTTGCTATGGACATCGATTCAGATTCTTGGATCATCGACTTAGGAGCCTCTTTCCACGCCACTGCTAATAAGAAGCTTCTTCAGAATTATGTAGCAGTGGACTTTAAAAAAATATATTTGGGGGACAATGAGGCCTGTAATATTGTTAAAAATGACGATGTGCAGATTCAGATGAATGACTCTAAGTGAAACTTGAAGAACGTGAGACACGTACCGAAACTGAAGAGGAATCTTGTTTCGATGGGACAGCTTGGAACAGAATGCTATGTTTCGACATTCACAGGGGATTCATGAAGAATCTCCAACGGTACAATGGTAGTTGCCCGAGACAACAAATTAGGGACTCTTTACCTCACCTCACATGCGAATAACACCATCGCAATTACAGTTGACAAAGAGAGTACAGATTTCTGACACAATAGGCTAGGGCACATGAGCGAGAAGAGGATGAAGATCTTACATTCACATGGAAAGCTAACCGGGATCGACTCCGTAGAAGTCGGGGTTTGTGAAGACTGTATCTTTAAAAAACAGAAGGTTAGTTTTTAAAAGGGTGGAAGGCCACCTAACGCTCAGAAGCTAGAGTTGATTCATACAGATGTATGGAGTCCAGCCAGTGTGTCTTTTTTTGACGGTTCGAGATACTATGTCATTTTTATCGACGATCACTCGAGGAAGGTGTAGATTTACTTCATAAAGCACAAGTCGGGGTGTTCGGAGTCTTCAAGAAGTGAAAGACCATGGTGGAGAACGAGACAGATCTGAAGGTGAAGTGTCTGAGATCAAACAATGATGGAGAATACGAGCTGGAGGAGTTCAAGAGGTTTGTGCTACGAATGATATTCGTTTAGAAAAGACTACTCCAGGGACGCCGCAGCAGAACGACATTGCGGAGAGGATGAACAGGATCTTGACGAAACGTGCCAGGAACATGCGATTACATGCAGGTCTGCCTAAGATATTTTGAGCGGATGCGGTGCATACGACAGATTACCTTATCAATCATGGGCTACCAGTTCCATTGGATTTTAGGATTCCAGAGGAGGTTTGGAGTGGAAAGAAGATAAATCTCTCACACTTACGGGTATTTGGTTAATTGGTTGTGTGGCTTATGTTCATATCAGTGACCATGTCAGGGACAAGCTAGAGGCTAAGTCACAGAAGTGCACATTTATTGGATAATATATTGATGAGTTCGAGTATCGTCTTTATGATGAGAAAAACAGAAAGATCATCAGGAGCCGAGACGTCATATTCAATGAGAGGGTGATGTATAAGGACAGGAAAAATACCAAGGATAGCCAAAACAGTGGGAGCAGCACTTCGGATGCAGGTGGATCTGAGTACATGGATTTAGAGAAATTTCCAGATAAGAGTGATGATGTTTGTTCTGACCGAAGAACGAAGGAGGTTCTGGGTGCAGAAGCAACTAACCAGGACGTGGAGCTTAGAAGGTCATCCAGGGTACCCAAACCGAATCCTAGATATCTTTTATCTCTTGATTACTTATTGTTAACAGATAGCGATGAACCGGAATGCTATGAGGAGGGAATGCAAGTGAGTGAATCTCAGCAGTGGGAGCATACGATGCAGAAGGAGATGGATTCTCTACTCACCGACGAGACATGAGAGTTAGACCAGCTACCTGCACAGAAAAAGATCTTGCATAACAAATGGGTCTACCGGGTCAAGCAGGAGAGTGATGGAAGCAAGAGGTTTAAGACCAGATTAGTAGCAAAGGGATTCCAACAGCGGGAAGGAGTGGACTACACGAAGATATTTTTTTCTATTGTGAAGCTCAACCATCCAGGTGGCGTTGAGCTTGGTGACTGCAGAAGACATCTTCCTTGAGCAGTTAGATGTGAAGACTATCTTTTTTCATGGTGACTTGAATGAAAAAATCTACATGAAGCAACCTGTTGGCTTCATTGAAGAAGAAAAGGGAGAGATTGTGTGCAAGCTTAAGAAGAGCTATATGGTTTGAAACAGGCTCCGAGACAGTGGTACAAAAAAATTGATAACTTCATGCGAAGCAATGGCCACAGAAGATGCAATTCGGATCATTGCTGCTATTTCAAGAGGTTCGAGTCCAGTTTTATTATATTGTTATTATATATTAATGACATGTTAGTAGTAGGACCGTGTTTAGAGGAGATAAACAGTTTGAAGAAATAGCTTGCAAAGGAGTTTGTAATGAAGGGTCTGGATGCAGCGAAATAGATTCTAGGGATGCGAATCAGTAGGGATGAAGCTGAAGGGACATTAAGGTTGAACCAATGTGAATATATCGAGAATGTACTTCAGAGGTTTAATATGCAGAATGCTAAGATTGTTAGCATGCCCATTGAAAGTCAGTTCAAATTATCTGAGGAGCAATCACCTAAGACGGATGCAGATAGAGAGTATATGAGCAGGATGTCATGTTCTTCGGCCATTGGGAATCTCAGGCACGCGATGGTTTGCACGAGACCGGACATTGTCCATGTAGTGAGAATTGTGAGCAGGTTTGTAAGCAATCCAGAAAAACAGTATTGGGAGA